GCGATTCGCCTTCCATTAGGATCCTGGGAAGGTGCCGAATAATTATTTTCCAAGGTCCCATGATCAGGAGACCATGGAGGGGCGGCATTCCTCGCTTGTTCAGCTAATGCCAGAGGAGATGCAGTTGGTTCTGCTGGCGAAGGAATAACTGGTGTTGGTGGCTATGGAGTTGTCGGTGTAGAAGGAGAAGAAGAAGTTGTGGTTGTTTCTTGCTCGGTGGTTGAGGGCAGAAGAAGCTCAGGGTCTGAACTCCTTGGACCAGAGATAGCAACATGGGTCGGGAAGCGATAATCAACATTCTCAACCAGGTCCATTTCACCCGAGAGTGCCTGAACTTCCTCTGTTGTAGGTTTTGAAGCTCCCCCGACTGAGCATCCGGTTGAGCCGATGAAGATCCTTTTCTCCTTTGAAGGGAAGCCTCTTCATTACTAGCTTCCCCTTCGTCATCGAGGACCACTGTGGTCGGCTCAGTTAGTGTTTTCTTTACTCTCTTCTCTTAAGTCCCAGCCAAGGAGGAATGCCTCATCTTCAATTTCTTGTTCTTGGATTGGGGACTCCGAGAGGATGCACCCTCATCAGAGGCTTGGGTAGATCCACGGGCTCTGCTTCGGTCGAGGGCATTCTACAATACCCTCCCGACCTCCTCGGGGTCATCTAGGGCATCGAGGCAGACGACGGAACCCCTCAGAACCCCTACGCAAGCAAAAAGATGATTAAGTAAATTGCTCTTAAACTACTAAGATTAAAAAAAGAGAGGAATTTTACTCACCGTGGTTCTTATCTCTCTACCCATACTTGATAGTCATTTCTTTCCACCGACGGGATTCCGAAGATGTAATATATAGAATTTTCTGAATCTATCGGTCCAAACCGTGAACCCGTGGTGGCTCCCAGCAGGCAACTGAAACGAAGGAAGTAAAAAAAATTAGCAAAACGAGAAATTATCTTTTTATGAAGAAAGGAAACGAATATCCGAAGACTTACGGAAGAGATTCCACGACTCAGGGAAAGCTGGAGTTGTGGTTGGGATGATATCCCTGGTAGCAATAACAATGAACCGCTCCATCCATCCGCGGTCGTTGTGATCATCTATGCTGGTGAGAAGGGCGTGATGGCCACGCTTGCTGAAGTTCAACAATCCCCCACGAAAAATCTTTGGGGGAGTAGATATTCATCATATGTGCGAGAATTAGGGTTTTTCCGATTTCGGCGCACAACTAGCAAAGACAGGCCACCGTACACCATATCGATAAGCCAACTTGTGCCAAGTAGACCTGGTACTGGTGGCAAAACTCCAGAATTATTGGGTCAAGTCTTTCACTTGGTCCCAAGGAGAAGGGACCCAAAGTAAAGAGATTATGTATAGATGTACATAAACCCCTCTCTGGAGTAAGTAACTCTCTCTACCACATCGGGGGCGAAAATTTCAATATTGGAACAGTTGCAATCCTCATTCACAGTGGGGATACTAGAAGGAAGATTAGAGGAGGGGTACCTACGAATCGGACAAAACCTGTGGCTTTGAGAATTCGCGGATGAGGTTTGTTCTTGAATATCAGATGCGGTGCTGAGACAAAGTGGTATAATGGTATTAATAGTTGGAGGTTTAGACTCAACATCAACTTCTTTGTCTTTGTTTTTCTTTGAGCCTCCACCGAAGAGAAAATCGGTATTTCCTAAGTTAGCAATGTAAGAAGACATGATGGTAAAAGATGAATGAAGAAAGTTCTTGCCAAGGAAGTTGGATGTTTTAAGAAAAACTCAGAAAAGGAGCAAAGATCATGAAAGTAGTGAAAGTGGAGAATTGAAAATGATGAGTAGCAAAAAAGTTATATACAGCAAATAATCGTGGTCATGATTACCTCAAAAACAGACGAAAATACTTACTGAATCACGGGTCAACACATGTTCGGAGTATTAAATACGAAGAGACGCATGTCCCTTCAAATGTCAGAGATCGTTCAGGAACTTTTTTGTCAAGAAAGGAATACTCATCTACTCTCCGGTAACACTGAGTTGCATCACCAAAAATTAGGGGGACTATTTGTATAGGATGAAATTAGTTGATAACAAGTGGTTAAATAGCGAGGTGACACGTGGAGCCGAGAACAGACAAAAGTTGAGTCGGCGGATAATCGGCACCGGTTACGAAGTGCGCAACCAATACATGATGGACCCAGAAGGAAGCACAACCGATGGTAAAGATTCAAAATCTTGACATCGCATAGCATTTAACGAGCAGCCGTTACAGAGAATATCTGTATTTAAAGCCAGCCGTTATATACCCATCAATGACATTTTTATTCTCATTCCAGAGGAGTTTGATTTTAGGATCTTGTCTCCCTAAGGATAACTATAAATATCAGAATTAACAACTCTTGTAAGGACATGAAATATTCTGCACATAAAAGCTATAGCATATTGTTTTACGCTCAATCTAAAGAACTTTATCATTGCTTCTGCTTTTGCCCGGAAAGACCGAGCTCAGAATACTACGAGACATGTCCATCTCCCAAAAAAAAAAGACAAAGACCGACCAAGAAATGTCAAATATCAAAAGTTACTGACTGATGATAGTAGGAGACCATAGCTTGAGTAGCAAATTAATTAGATAAACTTGAACTTTAGAATACTACGAGCTAATCTGCATATATTCTATTCATCTCACCCGCCAAAGAATTGAGAGAAGCCTAGCACCTAATTAAGTGTGTGGTCATATGATCATCAGATTAAAAACGCAATCAGTCACGCTATGATGCACCGTAGTTGTGTTCTATATACATAGCTTGCTTTGGCAGTGCGAACGAGCATTCTCCGCATTCTCTCTTATCAATCTACTCTTCCCACTAACCATTAATGAATCAACGAAACAACTTTGTTGAATATTATGGATTCGAGTTCAAAAGTTAACCACAATTTATTTGATATATTGGCTTTCGAACTTTATTATTTATACTTATTAAGTGAATTTTCTAAATACATATATAAAGTTTGACCATTGAGTTTGGATGAATCCATAAATTCTTAACTACATCACTTGGTTCATTTAGTTTGATTCTTTTCTTTCTTTGAGTAATACCATCATGTGTTAATATAAAGGGTAAACAAATGAAATAGACCATGAAATCAAAGGTTTAAATTTCAATAAAGAAAAAATGCGTGTGTTAGTCTTCTATATAAGTTTTGATGAAGGGAGTTACGGGTTATAGATAGCACAAACTTACAACTTATTTGACTTATTTCTCGTCGTTTTATATGTACAATCATTTTACATTATATTTATATTATATTGGAATATTATATTATGCCATCGAGATTAATAAAAATTAATATTGTGTCTGAAGTAACAACATAACACCACAATCCAATTAGGGGACATAATTATTCGATGCCTACACTGATTCGTGGATTAGGGGTGTACATAAGTCGGGTTGATTCGAATTTTTCAATTACCAAACCAAACCAATAGTGTTGGGTTTTTAAATATATACACCAAATCAAACCAACAAAGTCGGGTTTTTCTCAGTTTTTTCGATTTTTTTCAGATTTTCGGATTTTTTTTCCGGTAAAGTCTTCATAGCACAAAATATTCAACTTGTGCTCCAAATATTTCTTTAGTCCTAGTAAGATATAACTATATAATGAATTTTCTAATAAAATAACCTAATAATATGAGATAAGTCACCACAGAGTCGGTTGACCCAGTTGGTTTGGAGGGCGGTCATTCATACAGATGATATGAGATTTATCCCCCCTCAATGACTTCTGGGTCGAGCCAGTCGCATAAGCCTTGCCTAGTGCGGTTTACACCCCTTATGTGATTTGCAGGCTATTACACAGTGAGAGATTTACCTAGTGCGCACAGAGTGCTCACCCGAAGGGCAGAGGCTGTAGCAACTGCGAGTTTTTCTGGGGTTCCAAAAAAATATTTGAGATAAGTCATAGCATTATACTAAAATATTCAATAACAAAGATAATAAAATTGCATAAATCAAATATTACTAATTAATAAGCCTATAATAAAAATTAATATAATTTAAAAAATACTATATATAGGTCATGCTAAAATAAGTATAGCTAATAAATACTATTAAATACATAACGCACTAAAGAAAAAAAGAAACTAAGTTATGCATTTTCATTATAAACCAATGTAAAATTTAAAAAATAGATATCCAACACTATCGTCATTCATAGTGTTGAATTGAATTTCTTTTGTTAGCATTAGTATTGATTTGAACTTTGTTTGAGTTACTACATTTATTGGCTATAAAATTGATTTACCATTCAAAAATGTTAAAGTGAAATAATACGGCTAAAAGATAAAACTGTGAAAAAGTTTAAGAAATATTTATAAATTACATTACAATAAATATTTATATGTATAAAATATTTTTAAAAATTGTATAAATGTACTATCGGGTTGGTTTGATTTCGGTTTGACTTTTTTTAGTTAAAAATACCAAACCAAATCACAATGGAGATGATAGGGGTCCAAGAATTACTAAAGAAAATCAAGAAACATGCGAAAGCTAAAAGAAAATAAAGAAACAAAAAAACGACGAAAAATTAAAGATAGATTGAATTCAAGAACTCTTTCTTGAATTCAAGAAAGAGTTTCTTGAATTCAAGAAGTCTATTCTTGAAATTGAATCCTAACAACAATAATTAGGTAACAAAACACTAATCGCCTTTGGTAGAGAAATAAAAATAAGAGATAGATTATGAAACCTGACCCTTTGGAATAACAAGAACAACAATAAGCCTAAACTTATCGCCTTTCTTGAATACCTAGAAGTAATGTAAGATTTTGAAAAGAGTTTAATCTTATCACCTTAAGTTGAGTCTTGAAGGTTGAAAAATAAATCCAAAAATAACCACACACAAGAGTACAAGAAAAATCTAACAATTTTTATTTATAATAGTCTATCAATAAAAAAAGAAAAAAGAGAGAAGCCCAAAGGCTTTTGAGGCATTATTGACGCGTATCGGTGCCTATATTGGTGAAAATTCAACATCGTCCCTTATAATACAAAATCCAAAAGCATCGAACCTCCGATTTCAAGAATTCTTTCTTGGCTTCTGTCTTTTCTGGAATTCAATACAATCATCCAATCTATCGTTTTTTCTCTCCCTTTTTCTGTCTCCATAATTTAGAGGTGTGTTTTCTTTTCTCCATCCTTGATTACTTCTTTAATCTTGTGACCTCAAGTGGGTATTGTCTGAATTGGTCGATAACCATATGTATCTGCGTTAACATTCTTTTCTTTGACTTGAGAATTAATTAATCTGAAATTATAATTACCCAATTCTTGGTTTCTTGTTTGCCTTATAATTGTGTCCATTGAGCTTCTTCAGCTGATCATTTATGTTTGCTTTTCTACTGAGGTTCTATTAATGAATTAATTCCCATTAAAGAGAATTAGGAGAGGAACAAAAAAGTTTTCTAATCCCTGGAAATGTTTGAAGTTTTAGAAATTGTATCTGCTCTTTGCAATTCCGCTATAGTGTCTATTGTTTTAAGCTCTCAAACAATTTGGTGCTATGAAGTGGCTTGATTACCCTCCCCCCCACC